CTTGACATTTTGCTCACTTAAACAAAATGCTACGTGCAACATGTCACGGGAAGGTGCAAATTGATTAGACTAACTTCGCATAAAAATGGCAACTTCGAAAACCCTATAGTTTCGGCGAACTCAATTTCGGCGTGTCAATAGCCTGCGGCCTGTAAACCAATTGTATACTACACCATTTTATAGTTGCCGCCATCAAATCCGTAGACTACGAAACGCGTCTCGCGATGCTTGATCACTTTCCCGTCGCCACCGGGGGGACCTAATTCTTACCTATGTCCTGTTTGAACAAAGCTCGACAAACAGGTTTTTGCACACGGCGGGGACATAGTACGAAAATTTTTAAACTCAGAGCGCACAAACTCATTAGACAAATTTTTTCTCATTTCGGGTAATAGCTTCGTGGATTGACCCTCCTCCGACGGTTGTCCACCCTCGTTCTAGAACCCAGTTTAAAGCACTGCTAGACATTTATTTTTATGAATCCTCGCGCTGGAAGACATATTGACACGCGCTGAGGATATACAGAGCAGTTTACACCCTTTTTTCACTTGTGCCTTTCAGGTGAACGACAGCCGCTGACCGACAAGAACAAAACCGACCCGGGAAACTTGGGCAAAAGTCTCGATCTTGTGTATCAATCCGTGAATCCGTTAATGCATTTACAGGAACAGCGTGCTACTTACCAAGTTATGATATGGTATTCACTCTCGCGTTCCGAGTCAATTGATCTTTGACTTTTTCCCCTTTAACTTAACTGGTGAATGCAACCATCGCACTTGAGGCTGAACTGAGCTGTGCATGGCATTGTTTGAATGTAACAACCGCAAAAAAGCCATCGTCAAGCGCCATTCGTCGTCAAAATGGGGAAGGGCTACAATAATTATATGTGCAAGAAGTTCTTCCATCCAACAAACTTTGAGAACATTAAACGTAAATGGATGGCAGAGCAAGCGCATGAATATGATCAGAAGAAAGAGGAGGAGAAATTAAACCAGTATAGACGGGAGCAGGAAACGTTGGAAAATCGTGTATTGTTGGGCGACGAGAAAGCCAGGTTGGGGTTAGCCTGGATGTATGATCAGCCCGCGTTAATGGAGAAGGTAAGAGATTTTCCGATTCATTCAGCGATTTCCTCACAGGAACCGGAAGAGAGAGATGTGAAGTTTGAATGGCAGCGCAAATACAACGCTCCTCGTGAGACCTACTGCAAGAACTCGTCTGAAATTATGGATCAACCCTTCGCCATCGAAGTGAGGAACGTTCGTTGCATGCGGTGTAGGCAGTGGGGACATGTGAACACTGATCGTACCTGCCCGCTTTTCGGACAATCTTTCACCCAGGAGCCAACTAACATGGAGCCAGTAACTATGGACCACGTTCATCAGGGTCTCCGGAAGGAGGGTCTTGGCCTGAAGCCAGGGACCGAGTTGGACAGATTCAGCAATATATTGCAAAAGGCCAAGACAACATTGTCTGACGGCTTGAAAAAGACCACGGAAGAGGAAGACACGTTGGCAATGGAATTCCTGCAGAATCTATCTGAGCGTCAACGCCGGAAGCTTTTGAAGAAGCTGTCAAAGCTGACGGACGAGCCGAAGGCTCATAAGCACAAGAAAGAGAAAAAGAAAAAACACTCACGTCACTGATTTTGCAATACCTGTACACAAATGATGTTTCAGTCCAGTGTAAATAGTCCTTTCATCTATATATGCAAATATCACAAGTCCTCTCGTATTGTCTGTATGCCTTTTGGCGGTAGGCCGGTATAACTCGCCTTTGACTTCACTCACGCGCGCGAAGTGTTTGGGAGCAGTTTTGCTTCCAGGGCTCACGTTGCTCCATTGGGTTGGGGATATCTCATTGAAATGAACGTGCCCACACCCATTCTTCACCCGATGATATTCGACCAATTGCAGCTGACATGCTAGAATGCTTTGGCACTTGAGCACACAACTGTTCGAGCTGCGTACACGCTCTGGTTAAAAGGTGAAATTCGCACGTTTTTGAAGACGAGAACTGTGACGTATTCTTTTGTTTAACTGAGGTAGCCTCCGACTACACGCAACTACAGGTGAATACAACAGGGTTGTAAAAATTCTCCGCTTGTAGCAAAAATTCGTCTTCACGATTATTCTATTTTGTACCCGAATAAAGCAGTCAGTAATTCCCGTTTTCGGCCAATCACCGTCATGGATGGCAACACCAGAAATGAGCGCCGGTGCCCCACTGGTATACAACCATATCGATTCATGTGAATAAAGACCTATAAAAAGTGGACCGGAGAGGGGGACCTTAGGCTGGTTTACCACAGATATCCAAAGTGCCTTTACCTCCAACACATTCATTCTGGATAGAAACTGACAACATTTGCTATGCTGACAGGGGCTGGCCACTCAGTCTATTAACCAGATGTAAACAGTGCACCATAAGCATATTGGTTCCAGCTGTTGCAGTTTCGATGACCGGAAAGTGTGGGACATACAGCCAAGCACAGAGAGGGTTAAGTGGGCGCCCTCCTGGAAAGCGAGCACTCGGAGTCTACAACATCCGTCGTTCCCTTCCGCCAAGTCACTCCGTCTCCCTCTAGGATTCTGCCACTTCGCATTATGCATGGAAGACGAAGTTGCCTTCGGTGTGCATAATACTTGGCCCATTTACCTTAGCTTGCAGTGTTGGATGAATTCCTTGTGTGAGGTGCTGCATGTTTCATGGGATGCACCTTTCCTGATCGACTATGCGGATTCTCCGGTTATACCAACATCAGAGGCAGCAACAGGAGTGTCGACACTGATGCTTCATTACGGTACAACTACAAGGTTTGCCTAAATACTTAAAGCCCTAGAGTTAAAAAAGGAAAAGGGCTGGTGAGGGAGGGGACCCAGTGCTGGCTCCTGTCAAACATTCCGAGGTGCCTGCACCTCCAAGCGCCCAACCAACCTAGAAAGAAACTGACAGCATGGTCCTTTTCACGCCCTACTGCTATGTCACGTTTGCGCCATTCTCAAGGGAACACGGAGAACAAAACTCGTCTCGGTATACGCTATTTCGGCATGAGTAGCACATTGCCAAGCCATCGTAGTCGGTGATGCTGGATGTTTCCTAAATCCCGTTTGGTTCTCCCAGGTAACCATTCTCACGCGCACCACCGTAAGCCGACAAAGAGTCAGTGACGCCAGTCGGTGCCAGCTATAGGTCTGGCCATATACATGGAGATTTGTCAGTTACTGCACCGAATGTGACTAGGTATAGTAGTACTTCCCTCACTGTAGACCGATATATACGTAGTTTGCAATCTGGTGATATGCGACGAGTGGCGCAAGCTAATAACTGCAACTCTGAATCCGTGTTTGCTTTGTCTGTCACTACTTTCAGAGCTGGATCTTAAGGGTCGTGTGTACCAGGCTACAGTAAGGGCTGTGTCGTTGTATGGGTGCGAGACATGGCCTCTTCGGGTAGATGATGTGAGGCGTCTTCAGGTTTTCGACCACCGATGCCTCAGAAGCGTGGCTGGTTTCGGATGGCGTCAGCGGGTCAGTAACGAGGCGATTAGAAAACGGTTATGTCATGAATATTCTTTGTGCTCACATTATCGTTTCGTATTAACCATGCCTTCGCCTTTATTTTCAGCTTATGTACGTCTATTCTTAGACAAGTAAAGCGCTATTCTGTCTACGCCATTCATTCTTGCCATATCGATTCATGTGAATAAAGACCTATAAAAAGTGGACCGGAGAGGGGGACCTTAGGCTGGTTTACCACAGATATCCAAAGTGCCTTTACCTCCAACACATTCATTCTGGATAGAAACTGACAACATTTGCTATGCTGACAGGGACTGGCCACTCAGTCTATTAACCAGATGTAAACAGTGCACCATAAGCATATTGGTTCCAGCTGTTGCAGTTTCGATGACCGGAAAGTGTGGGACATACAGCCAAGCACAGAGAGGGTTAAGTGGGCGCCCTCCTGGAAAGCGAGCACTCGGAGTCTACAACATCCGTCGTTCCCTTCCGCCAAGTCACTCCGTCTCCCTCTAGGATTCTGCCACTTCGCATTATGCATGGAAGACGAAGTTGCCTTCGGTGTGCATAATACTTGGCCCATTTACCTTAGCTTGCAGTGTTGGATGAATTCCTTGTGTGAGGTGCTGCATGTTTCATGGGATGCACCTTTCCTGATCGACTATGCGGATTCTCCGGTTATACCAACATCAGAGGCAGCAACAGGAGTGTCGACACTGATGCTTCATTACGGTACAACTACAAGGTTTGCCTAAATACTTAAAGCCCTAGAGTTAAAAAAGGAAAAGGGCTGGTGAGGGAGGGGACCCAGTGCTGGCTCCTGTCAAACATTCCGAGGTGCCTGCACCTCCAAGCGCTCAACCAATCTAGAAAGAAACTTACAGCATGAACCTTTTCACGCCCTACTGCTATGTCACGTTTGCGCCATTCTCAAGGGAACACGGAGAACAAAACTCGTCTCGGTATACGCTATTTCGGCATGAGTAGCACATTGCCAAGCCATCGTAGTCGGTGATGCTGGATGTTTCCTAAATCCCGTTTGGTTCTCCCAGGTAACCATTCTCACGCGCACCACCGTAAGCCGACAAAGAGTCAGTGACGCCAGTCGGTGCCAGCTATAGGTCTGGCCATATACATGGAGATTTGTCAGTTACTGCACCGAATGTGACTAGGTATAGTAGTACTTCCCTCACTGTAGACCGATATATACGTAGTTTGCAATCTGGTGATATGCGACGAGTGGCGCAAGCTAATAACTGCAACTCTGAACTGTCATTGATGATGATGATGATGACTTTCAGAGCGAATGCATACTATAATTTCATTTTTAGAGGCCTATTCATAAACTACATACAGCAGCATAAATTTGTGAGTGCGAAGTTATTGGAGGTTCCAAATTCAATGTCAAAGGATCCTCTGAGGGTGCGGAGTCGGATTGCGCAGTCGTTTTTTCGTTTCGTTCGTCTATGTAGCCTCCTGGACCTGCTAAACGTCTCCACCTGCGTAAATGATCGTTTTCAAGTTGTGTTGTATTCTCGAATAGGGGGAATACTTGTCCGAACATCGAGCAGTTTTACTGTTGGTTAGATCTGGTCAGGCGCACCGTTTCACGAGCAAAACACTACAGGGTTGCGAATGGTGCTTTCGAGTGGGGGGTGGGCAACATCAGAATATGAGTTGTCCGGAAGAAAACTTAGGTGGTTTTGATAAGTGCTTCAAATTAGGGATTCCTGGATGGCCATCAGCGCTGTACAGATCTCCCACGCCTCCTACAGATGCAGAGAGAAGTAGTAACGGGCGAGTGTGTGGTCACATAATGCGCGACATCACCATGGATAACAAACAGTGTTCGACTTTGCTATACAATCATAACTTATTTGAAAGCTATACTGTGACGAAAAGAATAAAAGTGGATGCGGAAGGGACGCGACTTCGGGGTGCCTAACATCCAGACAATCATATTCAGGTAGTCTGAGAAATTTGATGAGAACGCCACCAACATCGAGTAGCGGCCATATGTTGGAGCCTCCCCAAGCAAGTAGTGGGGATCATCCGGTCACCATCCTAAAAGACGAGTTGCACCGATAACACTGAATTTTTGAAATCTCTCCCATACTCCCCGTCAAGTCAAAGGTTCGCTACCTTTGCTTGCGCCACTATGAATCGGGCACGGAAAATAGCACTCCTTGGCAAAAGATGGTTCGGGATGCGCAGTACCTGGGCTTAACACCAGATTCTGGGGCCGCAAACATTCTTCGATGGAAGTCCAGTTGCACAACTGGACACTCCTTCTTTAACTGCCTAGTTGATGGCTCGTGGACGCCAGCTCAAACGAGCTGTCGTTCTGAGACAACTGTGGTCGAAGGCCTGAAAACGCCTCAGCCGCACAACAAAACAGCCCTTACTATAGCCTGATGCACACATCGCTTAATATTCAGGGACATGCCGCTTTGATGTCATAGGCGTCTCAAATTAGCAGATGTGGACCGAGCCTTAGAGATTCGTGCAATTACTTCATGTCGCACTATGGTCGGAGTCAATGCAACTTCCAATATACACAAAACGCTCCACAACTTCTAGGGCATCCTTCAGTCATGAGTGGCGCACTCAGTGGCCATATGTGCAGGAGCACGGCCCTACACTGGGACGGTGTTCTTTTTTCGGATTCAGAGCTCCAGTAGCTCAGTGGTTAAGGTGCGAACTCACTGACAAGGAGGTCCGTGGTTCGAATTCAACCCCGGCATCTCGTCAGCTTCTGCATCGGCTTGGGCAACTTGACAATGCCTTAGCCCCCCATGCTTCTCTTAGTCTGACGGGTAGGCACCAAAAAGGGTGTTACAGCTGAACGACTTATTTGTTTTGTAATTTTGGATGGAGGCAAATAGATCGGACAAGCGCTTACTGCGGACTTCACCCCCATTCTTGATAAATGATGGTGGAAGGTCATCTGGATCAGCAAGAGTTCCGATCAGAGATGTTTTTGGTAGAAGATAGTTGTCTGCTAGGGACGAGGACATCGTCCGAATAGACTAATTATTCCAGGATGACTGGCGCTCGGTTATCGACTTTCAACATCGGCGGCCAATGGCTATGATCACTGGTTGCATAAGTGCTTAGTCCATAGT